ATTATTAATTATAGGCAAAATGTTTGTGCTTAAAATTTCCTTAATATAATTAGCTAATTCAAGGGGCGTTTGAGAGTTGAATAGAACTTTTAGTGATAAAAGTTCAAATTTAAATTCTTTGTTTAATAAACTGATTAATGATATTGCTGAAAGAGAGTCACCACCACAATCAAAGAAGTTGCTATTTATATCAATATTGTTCAGACCGAGAGTTTTCTTAAAACAAAGAATTACTCTGCCTTCAATTGTGGATGAATTGTTATATTTTGCAAGTAGCTGTTGGTCTATTTCATTAGATACAAAACCATTAGTATTAATTCTTACTAATGACTTTTGATGAGATTGCTGGGCCCAATAACTACAAGTGTGATTAAATGAATATCCAGGCAATCGAATAAGTTGAGTTTTTGCCATCAAAGGACAAATATGCCTATAATAATTATGCCAATTGATTTCAATTCCATTGCACCAGCAGTTTCCAATTATTTCTTCAAAACTAGTTTTACCTAAATCAAAACTATTTAGAATTATTATATTATTATTTAATATTCTTTGAACTAATCTACTTATATTGATTCCAATTCCAACATTAATAAAAATTAGGTTTGAAAATGTTGAATAAATAGTTTTTACTCCAGATTCAAATTGGACAGTTTTTCGTAAATGTTCTCTCCAAAATCTTGTTGTATACACTTCTTCAATATTAACCCACTTTCCAGTAGCATTTGAAATAAAAGGAATGATCGTAGAAGTTGCTTGGTTAGATGCTTTATTAAGTAACGAAGAAATCTCCATTTCAAATTCATCTAAAATTGAATCTGTTAGATGCGAATGAAATCCATATGCTTCATTAATAATTTTAACTTTATAATCTTGAGTTTTAAGAATTACTGCCAGTTCATCAATGTCTTTAGATTTTCCAGAAAATATGCATTGATTTCGTTCATTTATTGCTGCTAAAGATATTTTCCCAACCTTTACAAAATTGTCTGCAAGTTTGCTATTTAAATTAGTAGCCAACATTGAACCCCTTTCCATTTTATGCATAATTCGCGATCTTTTTAATACAATTCCTAAAGCAATATCAAGTGGAAAAACCCCAGCAAGTGTGGCAGCCACGTATTGTCCTAGACTATGCCCAATAATTCCAGAAATTTGTACATTAAAAACCAATCTGAGAATTTCAGCTATAATATAACTTGACATAAAAATTAACAAAGGTTCATATGTTGGATCATAAATGTCTTTTTCAATATAACTGATAAGATTGGATACTGTAGGATCATATTTTTGTAAAATATTCACACATTCCTTGAATTTTTTTTGGTACAATGGTGATGATTTGTAAATTTGTCGATG